TTCCCTTCCCTTCCCTTCCCTTCCCTTCCCTTCCCTTCCCTTCCCTTCTTCTGCCTTTCCTGTTGGCTCTATTCCATACCTCTGTGTTGTCCAGAGCATCTTGCTCCTCGCTGGCTCTCAGTGAAATGGACAAATGGTTCTGCAAGGTCTCTAAACCCATGCATAATACGTCTTCTCCATCCTTGCAATCAAAACAAGTCCTTGCTTTTCTTTCTGCTGGTTATTGGCCACACCGTGGTCTATCATTGCATCACTCATGGACTATGTCTACTTGGCTGGCTGGGGATTGGCCACCTTTCTGGGTAATAACAAGCAAGGTTTAAAAACTGAGGACCAAAAGCTGAAATTCCAGATTCCTGTTTATATTCCCAGATGATGACTTGTACCACATCTAAAAATTGGAAAGGAACTTACACTCTAAGACTTAGGGGCACCGTTTATAAAACCATGAAATTTTTGTGCCTGGACAGAGTATTTCCTTAATGCCTTTTCCTTAACAGACTTAATGCTTGGATGTGAGTCCATTCTGGAATCTTTTTTGCAAATAAGAGACAAAGAAATTTCCACTGTGAGAAATGGAGCTAAACATGGAAGTGCTGGAACACATTCATCAGGTTCAGCTGTCCAAGGCTGATAAAATGATACCCATTTTTAAAGGTGAATAAAAGTCATTGTGGGCAACAAAAATAATTCCTGCTTCCCACATTAATTATCATATGTTTCTGAAAATAACAAAGCAATGTATAACATTCCCAAATGAGAATACAAATGTAGGATCCAGTATGGGTTTGTAAAAAGAAAAAAGAAGCTGGTTTTGCACAGAAAAACAGGAAGAGATTAAACTTATCTTGGCTTTCAAAATTAATATTGCAGAGATATTCAAAACAGAGATGAAAAAATGTGAGAAATCAGTGTGGGAAGCAAATTTTGGTCATAGAACATAAACTTCATAAAAGATCCAAAGACACATAAATTGAACTTGTCAGTTTTCAGAATAAAGAGAGGCTAATAATAGGGTGCCCAAAGGATTTTACTAGGGCAAGTATCATTTAAAGCTTCATTATCTTGACAAGTGAGTGAACAGATGGCAAAATCTGTAGCAAATTCAAGATTTCCTAGGGTCCTGAGGATTAGAAAGATTTCTGAATACCAAATTCAAATCACCAAAACAAGGTGATTTGACAACCTCAGTGAAGATGGGATTTCAATTTACCGAAGTGTGAGGTAATGTTCAGGAATGATTTGAAGTGTTCACTGGTACTGCATACTTAATGAAGTGTTACCAGCTCAGAAAAATATCTAGGCAGCATTATGGACAGCTTAATTAAAACTGCTCTGTGAAAACAGCTGTTCAATTTGCAGCACTAGTTGTGAGAGCAAATAAAACACTGATTTATATGAAGTATAAAAACCAGCATTGATATTATTATAATGTAATCATGTAAATTCAGGGAACTATATTACAGTGATGCCCACCATCATCAACATTACAAAAATGTCTACAAAAATAAACATTCAGAGATGTCAGTGAAGGATGGTAAGCAGGGGAGATAGAATCATTTTACTTGCCTCATGAAAAAATGTGGCACTAAATTCCTATTCACCTTCATAACGATATCCAATATATGCAATATTCAGAAGCAGCAGCACACTCTCTGTGCTGGAATCTTTTCCCCTATTAATGAGGATCATCAAATCAGCAAGAAGTGGAGAGTTTTATGTTCATGTATGCTTAATAAACATGGTGAGAGTACCCATACTAGATGAAAATTTCCAGTGAAGGATATGGCAATTTTTGCAGTTACTTCATCAAATGAATAACTTCATTATTAATGTGAGACTGTCACTGGTGTTTGGTTTAAATTGTGGTGTTGATTTGTTGGTTTTTTTTTTTTAAGAATGATTAGAGTACTTCTTTTGGGAATGGAGGCTGTCCCTGGTGATTATTGAAAAGACCCTAAGTTTCAGCAATTCTGCATTAAAAGGGTAATTTATACTTGTGCAAAGCAAAGTAAGAGCCTATCACTACTTTCTAGTAGCACATACAACCTATTTTGCATTTATCTTGCCCAGCTATAAAAGATAAGCTATAGGACAGGAAAGAGGTGGATAACCCCAAATCTACTCAAGTCCTAAACAAGGATAATGTTTCCCAGTTGAAACAGTTTTCTTTACAACTTGACTGGCAGCAGTGAAGTACTTTAAATCATTTTAAAACTATTTAGCAACATTTCAGAATAGAAATAGGGAATAACCTCCAGCATGAGTCAGAAATAGAGTGGTTTTTGGTTTCCATATTTACTTCTGACACTTTTTTTTGCCTTTGGCATTGACAGTCACATATTTTTAAGGCCTGAACTCTGAAAGCATGTATCTGATAAATTTGATCAAGCCAAGGATTACTTAATATAAATGTTCTCTGTCAGGTAAATTAACTGATCTTCTGTCTCAAAAGCTATCACTGTGGTAAGATCCCCTTGAGTTATAATCCCTTTAGCACCTATTCTCCTAGCAATTTTCATGGGGTTTTGTAATGTAAATGAGTAAAAATATGCCCTGAAATGTAGAACAATCTCAAGTAATTACTGCTGAACAGATTTGTGTCAACCCAAAATGACAAAAAGGTGTTGGAATGAATCTGCATGACAGTAGCATAAGTAAACAAGATGAGCAACAGCTGTACCTGCAGCACTGTAAAGGTGTTCCGACATCATCTCTAGGAACTGATTTCACTAGAAGTCATTGCAATACTGAAAAAATGAACTCTGGAACCAGCAACACATACAAGCGAAGTAACAACCTTTTCTTGCCTCCTGAAATAGTCCTGAATGCATATCTCCTTCATTTGCATGGCATTTAAATAAAGTCAAGGAGAACTATCTTGGTGGAGTCTCAAAAAAGTGCCTACTAATAAGAGGGGGAGCAGGCCAGCTGAACACAGTGTTTCAGGGGGAACTCAAGCCTGCTCTGTTCTTTCTGGAATCACCTTTTCATGTAATTATAAATAAAAAAGATGGTGCTTTCTGGCAGGCAAGGGGTGGCACACTCAGTAGAGAGCTGTGGCTGTGATCTCCGTCATCATTCTGGTCACATCAGTGTACACAGCAGCAGGTGATGGGGAAACACCTCCTCAAGCTCTCTCTGCCTTTGGTACGCTTGGCCAAGTACAGAGCAGTCCCTGCTACTGCCTTTCTTGGGAATTAAGTTGCTTTACAATATACCATTTTCAATCCAAAAGAGAAAAGAAAAATATATTTTCTAGCTGTCTCCCATGATCTTTGATGTTACTTTTTATAAAATAGTAATTTAATGTCACTATTAAAATTCAGTTATGTGAAAAGTACATGAGTGCATAGCTAAGATTTTTTGCCTCTGGCATGCAGAAATTGGAGCCTATTTGGAAGACTACAAAAAGTTGTGCATTAATATCTCACAGGTGAGTTCTTTTACATAGACTGTAATTCTCTAGCACCACATCACTGCTCCTATTAAATCTGCTGCCTACTATGCAGTGGCACCTTATGGCTTACCTCTTTGAGCATATGTAGTATAGTCCACATAAAAATATGACACAGTTTTGTTTCCAACATAATGAATCTTGAATGAAACAATGCCATTATGCAAACCCCCTTACATGCAGTAGGCAGGAAGAGTACAAGCAAAAAATACTAAGGTGAAGGATCTACAAATTTGTTGTCACAAATGCTTTTTAGGCTTGCAATTCATAGCTGTGCTTTTGCCTACCTGATTATAGGAAGTGCTATTGGACATCATTTGGTAACTTTTTTTCCCCGAAGCTTTCTGTAATGCTTTCAAAGGCAGTGCTACAGTGCTCTGTTTTTCAAGCAAAAAAAGTAAAACCCTCAGCAACTCAAAGTAAACCTTTCTCTGCATAGCTCTAAAAACTGAAACTGCAGTTGTTACTGCTGACTTGTTAATATAACACAGACATGGACATTTCCTGGTTACTGTAAACACTGAAATGCTTTTGGAGTTAATGGAATACAGGTGCTGCCTGACACTACCAAAATGTTCTCACAGAAACAGGGATATTTTTGAACAGAAAGAGCTGCAGATCCACCTAGTCCAGCCCCTTCTTCACAGCATGAATATCCTGCTTCTCAGTGGGAATACCCAGATATGTTAAATGTCATGAAACAGGCATTCTTCCTAAGCTTAAGCTCCTTTATACTCCCAGGAATGGCTGTACCACTCAGCCTGCTGGAACAGAGAGTTCTGTAATGCCAGAGCTGGGTGATGGAGTGGGCTTAGGCAGGCTCTGAGGCGGCTGGGAAACCTTCCCAATGGAGCTGTGGGAAATGATGCTTACAATCAAATCGTCACCAGCCTTCACTTCAAATGAGATTCAGACAATACTGTGGACAGACAATTAGCCCTTCTTTATTGTGGAATTAAGAAGAAATTTAAAATCAGCTTTAGTGATTCAAGATCCTGTAGAACAGTTGAGGTTAATAGGGATTGGCTTGGGCCCCAGCCAAATTTTGATTCTGGCCATTCTGATCTTCCTACCTGAAAGTCTATCCCCTACTGCAACTGGCCATAGCACTCTTTATTCACTAGCCAAAAACATGAGTGCCATTGCTTTTTAATTCTACCAAATGTATACATTTAAAATCTGTTAAACAAGTTTAAATAGTAGTTGTGTGGCCAGTGATGAAGGTTGCAATATACTGATGCTTGGCAATATGCTGCCATCAGTCAGTAGCCTGATTACTCAAAAGGCGTGTGTGCAGAGAAGTATTTGCATATCTGAAAAAAAGTTCTTACTCTCACAAGTAAATTAGTTTGGGGAACAATTTGCTTGCATTGTTGTTAGAACCTGCTGTCAACACTGATCATGTTTTCCTGTGTAATCCAGGAGAGTTATAAAAAAAGGAAAGAGCAAAATCTCCCAGGTCTCTGAACCAATATCCTGCTATGGTGTGTGCTAAATTGCCATTGCCATTGACTGCTGCAAGGCAAGGCTTTTTTACACAAATGTTCCAATTATTTCTACTGTGATGGTAATAACAGTTGGAAGTTTAGAAAAGAAAAATTAAAAATTGTTGCTTACACAAGGTCCCAATACAATATTGAGGAAATGAGCACTTTGAGAGCAAAGAAAGATGTAGTTTAAAACAATATATTTTTGTCAAGTGACTGAAGAGGAGGGGGAAAATCAGACACCAGAAGCTGAAATGAGAAGAACAGGGGCAATATTCTGTGCTGAGACATTTTGTGTTTTAATATAGCTGCTCCCTTATTCAAGGGCATTAATCACTTCAAAATTTCAAGCTCAGCTCCAGTAAAAAACCAATACATCTACACATACAAAATGTAGTTCACTTTCCCAGTTGCTTAATCACTGAAGCATTGGCTATTTCTACAGAGACTGGCTTTGCTCAGCACAAGACTTCATATCTTCAATGTAATATATTTTAAAGATGTCCACAGAGCATCTTACGAAAGGAAGTGAAAGTTTATTGGCACTTGGTTTGTTTTGTCCGTTCCTCTCGTCTGTTATCTGAGAAATGTGCAAGGGCTCTTGTGGCTGCAATTCTTCAGGATTTCAGCTGAAGCATCAGCTTAGTTGTCTACTGTTCCATGGAAGTGCCCTGTTTACTCAGGGGGCAATCCATCCAATCATCATTTGAACCACAGCTGCCTCCCTCTTCCCTTCTTCACCATTCTCATATAACAGGAGGTATGTTATATATCTGTTATATATGTTATATATCTGTTATATATGTTATCTATCTGTTATATATGTTATACATGTAATATATAAAAGATATATAACATATCTCCCGTCACACAGGACCTTCTCCTGGAGTTTATAATGTCCTGTGACAATTTAGACTGTGTTAGTACAAGAGACTGGAGAGGTAGAGGGGTTATTAAAAATAACCTGCAAGAGCTAGATATAAGCACAATGCAAGATGGAGAGAAATGTGCACATTAAAGCTGGCCAGAATGTGAAAACCCTGCTGAGTTAAACCCAAAAAACCACATTTATTTTCCAGAAACATATATGATTTCTCTTAATTTTTATTCTTTAAGAAACAATGGGTTTTGTCAGAAGGAGGTTTCTGGGTGAAAATTTTTGATTGCTGTAGAAAAAAAATTTTCATCCCACATTTACTATTTCACTTTTGTTCCCATTAACTCTGCCTTGATAGACACAATCTGGTCTATTGCATTGCATCCCAAATGCAAACACCTTGGCAGTTCTCTCTATCACTGCTCTTTGCAGCTCATCCTGCCTTTATGGTGCATCAAGTAGAGGCTGCTTGACTGAAGTCTGAAGGCCCTTCCCTTGCCTCACCTATCTGTTCAATATTAAAAGCTTTCTCTCCAGAGCCTGTTTGTGTACAGGATCCCAGCTTTTGCTGTCTACTCATTATGTTTTCAAATACACATTTGCATGCCTTTGCTAAAAATGCCCCTCGTTCTTGAAAGCTGATCCTCTGAATATATAAAGAAACCCCATTAACCTCCTTGGAGACCCTCTTGCTAACTCACTTTGCACCAGTGCTTCCAGACACGATTCTGGTGTGCCAGAAGTACCAGCAGTTACTACTCTGGCCAGTACTGTTCTATTTCTCTCTCATACTCCACCCTTCCTACCCCAATCAGGTCTTCTCTCCATCGGTGTCCTGTTTTATATTTAGTTTGCATTCTCCTGAAGGCAAATATTGAACTTTAGCTCCATCCAGTTTTTGCTTCCAAGCACTTTGAAAAAACAATTTGTTATTAATAATAACAACAATAAAGTATCATCCTTTGTATGAACAGAATTAAAGCTTAATTTCTCCCCATGCCCTCCATGCCTGCTCTAGCAGGGGAGAGGGAGCACAGTCAAACAGCCGACACTTTGTTACTGTAGTCTGTATCTGAGCATACTTAGAGTCTGTTCACAGTGAATACTGCAAGAAGTTCCATTTATTTCAGCATTAATCATTGTGAACAAAAGTGAAAGAATTTGGCCCCCACTAATGAAAGCCAGCAGTGCTCTGCTGTTGGCAAAGTGCAGAGCAACCCTTTCCCAGAGATTCAGAAAGCTGAAATGAAGTAGGATGAACTTATAGGTGCCAATCTCTTGATAAATCAGAAAAGAGTGAAACTAATATATAACTTGTTCTCATTAAAGCTAACTCAAAATTATGATAATTTGTATATGTAAATTTAAAAAAAAAAGGAGAGAGTGCCAGGGCACAGGCTAGAACATTTTGTCCTCATTCACAGCGATTCTTATTTTTCTCTATTCAAAATTCAAAATATTTGTTTGTTTACTTAGATGTCAAAGAGGACACCTACTCATATGCCCTTGGTGTTTTTCACATAACTTCAACCACAGAATTAGTATGAAATTCACCAGAGTCTGCTGTTAGGAAAACAAGCAATGGAAAACCTCAAATCTTTTCTTTCCTTCCAGTGGTAACCCAGACTTACAACATCCCACTCAGACCATTTAAGCTGTGATAGAAAACAAATTCCAGAGCTCTAGGACCCCCAAAGAGATAAAGACCACTGCTAAAGTTATAAATATTACTTGATGTGTTTATATCTAGGCTGTCTGAGCTACTATTTGAAGCTACAAAAGCACAGCAACACCATTTTGGGTATCGTAAATTTCAAGAATCTTCATTACAGTCAGTTCTTGAAGAATGAAATTAACTATAAAATTTGGCATTGCACTTATTAGCATCAGACCACATAATTGATCTTGTAGATCCTGTAATTTCCTCTTTTGGTTTAGTATTACTTTTTAAGAGATACCAGAGTAAGGAGCCTGTGTCCTCTAAACAGCACATAGTAACCAAGGATGCACTCTTCCCACATTTTCCTCCGCATGACATATCTTGTTTTGCTCTTCTGCATGTAGGCAAATGTTGTGAGGTGATAAAGCTAACAAAAAATCCTGACTCATGATAATTAAAGACAAGAGGATGGAAAGGAAAGAAGTTGCACTTTTATCATAGTCATTCAGTAGTTTACAAATGGCAAACCAATATGTAGTCCTGTTTCTCTTTCCTTAGGTCTGATTCTCTTACCAGGTGCATTGGAGTTAGTGTACAGTTACTTTACTAGGACTACATCAGGCTGCATAATGGAATCTGTAACAAATTAAAAACACCCCGCTAATTAGGGGCCAGAATACTACGCTGTGTCAATTAACTTGGTATTTAATTACCATGGTGATTGGAAGGAGCTATAAATTGCTAAATATAAAATAAGTGCATCAGACTTCTGTGCCACAATGGCATCAGAGCATGGGTACAACTAGTTTAGACTTTTCCCCAATATTTTATATGCCTTCAAGATTTAGACAGTACTTTTATTCCTGCCAATATTCTGTTATCAATGAGCAAAGACAAATATAATATTTCAGCTTCTTTTAAGGCAGCTGGGAACTTTCTCCTTTCTCTTCATCATATACAGCGGTTTCATTGCAATTACTCTGAAAAGAACTATTTTGGCAAGACTAGTATCAAGCAGGAAAACTGTATATTCTGTGGAAAATGTGCTTTCCTTTTCTTTCCCCCAGAAATGATAGCCATCTTGTGCTGGATATCAGAATGTTTCAAGCAGGAAACACAAGTACTGATCAGCTGGCTACTTATACACTTAACCAACCTATGCAAAATGTGTGAGAGACCAGAATTTTACCATCTTGTCAGGTTTTCTAAAATTCTAAAAGGAAATTAGGCATGTTTAACCTATGAATAATTCCTAACATGTACCCTCCTTCAAGCAAAATAGCTCTTATTGTAACTTCTTCTGCAGAATAGCTCTTAGTGTAACTGCTGCTATGAGGTGTAATACATCAAAAATACTCGTGATGGTAATTAGACTTCTGAACAGCTGACTATGATTAAAAGCATAAAATAGGAATAGGCCAGTTGCTGCATGAGATGTGTTCTCATTACTCAATAGCACTGTTTTCTTTGGGGAGAAAACTACAATATCTGATCTTGCCTCTGGATTCAGTTTTCCACAATAAAGTACCTGAAATTAGTAAGATTTTTGTCAGTGCCTGCCACAGAGTTTGGTCTAGGCTTGCCAGTTCATTTCTGTTTCTTATTATGAAATACCGCCATATCACTGCAGTTAATCTTAGTAACTCGTGGTGAGATAACATGGGATTAGCAATTGCCACTATCTAGTCACTAATTAGCTGCTTTCAGTAAACCTGGAAGTCTAGGGATATTTTTGATAAAGCAAGATCTTCAAAAATGCTGCAGTAGGGAAGACAATATCTTTTGTTCTATTGCTACATTCTGGCCATCACAGACAGCCGCTGAAGAAAGGGATAGCTATCTTCCAGACAGGCAGGGCACTCTAAGTTGGTGCATCCAAGTGTGGCTGCCAGAAGAGCACTGCTGAAGGTTGCAGTACTGGCTGACGTTTGTGGGTGGTGACACAGCAGTATGATACAAAACCTTCAAAACGGAGTTTATTATTTCACTTTTAGATTGTCTGTCACGGCTCATCTTTATAGGGCAGCTGAGTACAATATCAGGAATTAATTTCTTATCTCTGCCTGGTTCCTAACTGATAAAAGCCTGTGGTAGTAAACAGGCATAGTAGGTCTTATGTACTGGTAATAGCTGTGTTGGTGAGAGATTAAATAAAGAGAGGCAGAGGTCAGAGGCAGATTTACTGGGCAGAGGAGCTGATTGTAGGAACCATAATCCTCTCTTCTCCCATTAACATCAGCAGGTGTTTGCTCTGGGTCATGGGATGTGGGAGTATTTACATAATTATGCTGTCTCCCTTCCAGATCTTGGATGCATCCATCCCTGGAAGGCATCCCTTTTCTCAGAAGTGTTTGTCCAGTCATTTGGAGGACACTGGAACTGCAGGCAGAGGAGTGACATACAACATCTGTACAAGCTCTGGGCAAGCACATAGTCTCCACTATATCAGCTAAAGTAGAGTAGCTTAAGATGAACTTAAGAAGAACCTTTTTAGATGAACCTCTTAAAAACAGGGACAAAGGAAAACAAATTCACACCACAAAGTAAGCAGAAGACATTATTAACAGTGGTAACATGGAATACATCTGTCTGCTTGCTTTTAGCTTCTGACATTGCAGTAACAGTTTAAATCTAAACAAGAGGGGGATATCGATAATATTTGACATGACTGCTTTACCTGGGCCTGCAGCTCTTTCAGAGTAGGGCACTCACTTGCAGGAACATCAGCTTCTGCTTTGCACATCACAAATACTCTGCCAAAAGAGCAAGCAGTAAGTAATTGATTGTGACTAAATGGAATGAAGCAGCCATTGTCCTTCTCTGCTATCAGACTCTCTGCTGGAGGAACAGGATAGGGAAGGGGACACTGTTAAAACAGTATTTCCCGGAGCACAGAAGAAGCAGAGACACAAAATGGTTTTCCTAAATGGGATAAGGGCCCTGATATTACTTTCTGGCTAGTCTACGGATGAAGAAATCGGGATTCATTTTAGTCTGTAAAGTGTACAAAAAGTGTCTGCCGGGGTTTAATTTTGAAATCTTTTCAAAAGCGCAAGAGCTTGAAAGAGAAGAAGTCATGCAGGGGGAAGGAGGTGGAGAGTAAGTGGGTGGCATGCAGAGAAAGTGGGAAAGAAACAGGAGAGGCTGTGTTGCAAGGACTATGGCTTGATCTTGGGTGGAGAGTTGATGAACCTAGGCCTCTGAGAAAAAAAACTCATTTTCTTTCCGCAAAAGTTGAAGCATGGGCAAAGCACCTATTACAGCCTCCCGTGAAAAAGGCATCCCGTTGCCAGGCAGGTTTCCTGTCACCTCGTGGCGGGTGACCTGTCTCCGGAGCGGCATTCGCAGCGCTGGGGCGGCACGGCCGGGGTGGCGGCGGGCAGCTCCCGGTCGCTGTCCAGGGAGCGCAGCGGCGGCAGCGGGAGCTGACAGCAGGGCAGCTCCCAAATGAGGCCCACGGGCACAAGCGGGGTCACGGAATCTAGGCGCGGGACGCGCGGGGTGCCGGTCCGTCGGTGGTGCCCGAGGGCGCGGGGTCCCGGTCAGGGCAGGAGCAGGGCCGGAGCCCGGGGCACCTTCCCCGCCCCGCGGGGGCCGCAGCGCGGGGGAGGACAGGAGGGCGGAGAGCGGCGGGCGCGGGACGGGGCGCTGAGGGAGAGAGGGAGGGAGCGAGGCTGGCGGCGGGAGCGCTGCCCCGGGGGCCGGGGCGGGCGGCGCTCAGGTGAAGGAAGGGCCGCCCGCCCGGGGCGGCGGTGACGCGGCTGCGGCGCGGCGGGGCTGCCCCGCGGCCCCGTGTGGGCGCCGCCGCCCGTCCCCGGCGAGGAGAGCGGGCGCGGAGCGGGGCTGCCCGGGGGGGCATGCGGAGCCACCGAGGATGAGCAGCCAGCGCCGCTCGGCCAAGGCGCAGCTCCGGAGGTCGCTGAGCGAGCAGCTGCGGGACTCCACCGCCAAAGCCTGGGACTTGCTGTGGAGGAATGTCCGGGAGCGGCGGCTCGCAGGTCAGTCCCCGCCGCGCCGCGGCCGCCGCTACCTGCCCGGGAACGCCCGGGGGACGCCCCGGCCCCAGCATGAGGAGGGGTCCCGCTCCAGGGGCACGGCCGGGGGCACCACCTCCGCTGCCGGAGCGGGGAGAGCCCGCGGCTTGGCCGGGCGGGACGGGCACCGAGCGGGCCAGGCTGCGGGCAGGAGCGGGGCAGGCGGGTCGCAGCCCCCGGCCCCTGCAGGCAGCACCTGCCCGGAGCCGGCGGGCAGCGCGGCTGCTCACACACGCACTTGGGCTCGGGGCTAAGCCGCCCCCTCGCTCCGTGTCGGAGGCACCTTCTAAGCGCCTCCGAAACGAAGAGGGTTGGCTTTGCCTCCGGGAAGCAAGCTCACCTGCTCCTCCGATCAGTGTTGTAAGTCTAACCAACCAGGTTGGTTCCTCACAGGGTTTGCAGGTGAGAAGTACCTCAACTCCCAAAGAAAAATGGTCTGTTTCATTTCAGATGCTTCTATAGCTTCAGGTCACCTACCTGCTCTGGCAAACCGGCCTCCTGCAGCTTTTCTATCCCCAGGTGGGGACCAGAAGGGCACAGAGCAGGGCAGGTGCTCCGAGAAGTCGGGTCTCATTTAGGGCGCTGCTATTGCAGCAGCACAGTGGCTTTATGCACGCAAGCATACACCCAGTGTGTATTTGTAAAGTACTCTGTGAATTAGAAGTTCTAGATTAGAATATCTAGCATGTGTACATGCAAGTGCAAAGTAGAGTTATAATACTAGAAAACGATGCATCAAGATTTATGAGCAGATCATGTATAATGAAGTCTAATTTATAAAGATGGATTCCTCTGGCACATCCTACAGCATTGTTAGGAGTTTGGTGACCTTGCCTAGGGCACTGTGACATGCTGTGTTGTATAATACAGAGGTAAATGATGCAGGCTTTCTGATTATGTCTGCAGCACATTAGTTCTTATGTACATACAATTAAAGTAATAGATAAAAATTGCATCGTAGCTTTTTTGAAAAAATAATCTAAACTGGGTAGCTTCAATAACGAATTACTAAAACAACCTATTTTGTAATATTGTGGCTAACCAAAATACTAAACTTTTAAGTTTTTAATTTTCTTTTAAGTCCATTTTTCCTATTTTGATAGCAGATGCCAGCAGACATTCAGCAAGGATACTGTTGGCTATTTTTTTCTTTTTTGGTCAAAGACAACTATTGCTTGATTGAGCAAAGAACCTGGGCAGGCTGCCATCATACTGTAGCCAACTTCTTAAAGCAACTGGGTATTAAAATTGATGGAGTCAAAACTTTTTATTTAAGGTGGATAGAATACTAATGTCCTGGGTTTATGCACTGCCATAATTTAAGTGCTATTCATAATACTCTGGTAAGACACTGATACATTTGCTGTTTAATTAAATTACTTATCTGATGACGTAATGAAATGTGTACAAATGTCTATTGGTGCCAGATATGTCCTCTTATTCTGTTGCTTTTCTGTCTGGCATTTTTGTCCTTGTTTTTATATTTGTTTGTTGTGCTGACCTGCATAGCTGCAGTGTATATTCCTTGGCCTCTTCTTCAAGCTTTTGTTAAGGAGAAGGCAGGAAATTTAGGCTGATCTAAATGTGTCAACTATTTGCTGGTTGCCAGCCCAGCTTCTTCTCCATTGCAATGGATCTGATCCCAACCAGGTAGATAGTTATACAAGTTCCATCTTTTCCCTCAAAGTTGCCATTGTATTTCAGCTCTGACTGGCAGTCAGAGCAGCAGTGTAACTGGTAACTAAGGTTCAAGAGCAGTGCTCAAAGCTAAATGCAGTTTTAATCATTAGTGTGCTGTCATATTCTAACTGTCAAGCCAAATAAAAACTTGTTATTAAATCCTTGCTGTGATGATACTTTTGCAGGCACTTACATAGCTGCTCTTTTGGTTTGCTTTAGTCTTTTATCTATTTGTTAAGGATCAGGACACCAGTTGCCCAAGATACACCTGTAAAGAAAGCAAGCACATTTTTGTAATTCATAAAAATTATATACTCATTAGGGTTGGATGAAGTGTTGGGAATTCTCCAGTAAGTCTCCAGCTCAGAGCAGGATCAGCACTGGGAGCAGAGCAGGTTTCTCAGGGCTTTCCCCAGTGCTCCTTGGGAAGAGTTTCTGCCCTGGCGTCCAGGCTGGAGCAGAGGGCAGCAGGGCCCTGTTGGGCAGCAGGGGTGTGAGCTGGAGAAAGGAGCTGAATCCTGGCTAGGGCAAGGAGAGAGCTGAATTTTGACTCAGCTGCTCCCAAAGAGGCAGAGAGCATGGCAGGGTTGCTGTGGAAAAGTAGGTTGTGCATAAAAACACTGCTACAGTGTGCTCCTTCCTTCCTTCCCTCCCTCCCTCACCCTTTGCAGCAGAGGTGATGAGCAGCAGCCTGGCTCCTGCACGCTCCTGGACAGGGCTGCTCCACACTGTCTCCTATTCAGGACAGATCCGTGGTGCCCAGCAGCTCTTAGTCACTTTTTCTGATTCACTGACTGGGATTTGTTTTTCAAACAATGGGTGTACCCTCTACAGTGCCAAAAATTGCACCCTCAGGGGTTTTTTGTGCTTTTTGTAAGTTTTGCAGAGGTAATTTACACTGTTTCCACTATGCTTATGGTTTAATTTGGAATTGACAAAGTGAATGGGAAATGTACCAGAATTTTAACTCCCTGTGGAGGCCTATTTACCTGAAAGGTTGTATAAAATACTTTTGGTTTAACGCAATCCTGAACCACTTTGCCATTATTGAAAACCAATGTTTAAGGAATTTGATTCAGGTATTTAGCAAATCCTCCTACAGTGATCACCTAAAGTAATTCTGAGATCCCTATTCAAATCAAAATCACCTGTTACAGTCAAACACAAGTTGCAGTTCTTACATTCCTTGAATGCAAGGGAAAAGTGACACCTTCTATCTGGCATTCTTTCAGTTACTATACACTAAAATAAAATTAAATTTTAATTTATTTTTTAAATTCAGTACTTTGGAGTCATGAAACACCAGTGTTAAGGACCCCTTTTGCTGTATTGCACAGCCCCCCTCATAGGGTAGAATTGTCATGACTGACATGATTGACTGACACAATCACCTCACCCTCTTTGTTGCTCAGAATTTTTCAGCCTCATTTACTGCAGAAAGTGATGAACCCTGTTGCTGAATCTTTTACCTTAGAGCCTTCTGTACTGCAGTTTTCTGAAATACTGGACTAAGCACTGAATTATAAATTTCCTCAACTGTTCATGAGCCTGGTGCTTGTATATGTCATAACAATAATGTTTCAGTTGTTCCTAGAAGCTTCAAGGTTACTTGGTCCCATTTTACAGATAGAAGCAAAAGCCAAAGTGAGACTGGACCCCAGGAATATCAGCTCTTGAGAGTTAGAACTTGAATTATCTGCTTTAGTATTTAAATTATGACTCTCAGTAGCTGCTGTTGCACAACATTTTGAGCAAATTGGCATTTGGGGTCTAACTGTATTGCACCCAGAGAATTAATAGCTTGCAGGTTCTGGTGGTCTGGTCAGATTTTGTTTCACTTGGTGTACAACAATGAATGGAAGGTGCTCTGCCACAGGGGCAACATTTACTTGTCATAGTCACAGAAACCTGAGTTTTTCTGTCTCCCACTGCATGAGCTTCAGCAGGGCTGATACGTGACCATACCCCATCATCAGATAGGATTCTTGGAAACTGCGTGTGCAGATGAAGATGAGACTTTGTCTTACTACCTAGTAGAAAGAGGGCTGAGTTAGAATTTAGCAGGTGACTTGAATTTTGAGACTTACTGAAGTTTGCAAAATTAATTTTGTGACCCTAGCATTCTTCTGATAAGAGAAAGCTTTGCCTCTAATTTCTGAAGTTCAGCTTTTAGCTGTTATTTAGCAATCTACACAGACTGCTGTCAGGATTTCTTCTCTGTAAGGCTGCCTCCCCTGTGTCTGTGGCATGGATACCCCCTCAGTCTTTCTGACAAATCTCTTCTCACATGAGCTTCGTGTCCCACAATGCTTTGTGTGCTCTGTGTTCTCTAAGAGATTAAATCCCTACTTGATCTCCTCTAACTCTTCTAGTACAAAATCTCTCTTATCTATCCACTGACATCCTCTGTACTGCCTGCTGCAATTGCCCTATCAGACAGGGCACCCTTGAGCACTGTTCCAGCTCACACTCAGCTACAGAGCTCTCCAGAAGCAACTGCCTGGCGTGGTTTGGGGAACAGTTTCAGATGCTCCCACTCTTTTTTTTTTGGCTTGGCTGTGCTTTGGGTAAAAGGAATTTGGGATCAAGTTTTCCACCACACCTCCAGTGGTTTGCTCAGACTGACATTTCAAACTGTTTTAACTTGTCCAATTTTGGACAGATTTTTCAGGCACCAGTGCTAAACTGACTCTTGAGCTTCCCCTGTGATGTTGCAGGATTTTTTTCCAAATGATGAAGCACTGAATGTCTCAAATCAAGTAGAATGAAAATGTGTGGTGGGACAGCATACCATGGACTAATTTTTTCTTAGAAATGGATTACCTGAAGCTCCAAAACTGAAACAGGAATGAGGCAGGCTTGTGAGTAAAAGAAAATCCCTAGGAAGTCTAAAGAAGCCAAAATTAACACCTTTAAATGGAAAGCTTTACAAGTCCTACTCTTAGGTGTCCTTAACTGTTCAGGAGGACCTTATAAATTGAATAGCATCTACAAGTGTCTCTTCAAATATGACTAAAATACATTTATATCAGAGATGAAACTGAACATTATCTGATGTAGGTAGAAAATGGAGAATAATTTGTCCAGCAGAAAGTAAATGTCACATTCAGCATGTTGCAAAGATGACAAGGCAATGCACCTGCTCCTCTCAAAAGTAATTTGTGGTTGGTTTGTGGGTTATTGTGATTTTATTGGATGCAAATAAATCTAAGTTTGTAATTGCACTTCAGAAAGCGTGGTGCTCCTTGGCACCTGCTGATCTGTTGCTGTTGGGGAATACAGAAATGAAAAATGGGTTTTAAAAAACTAAACTAGTGGTCGCAACCAGAACTTTGTGAATTTTAGCACAGTTTTCTGAAATGCCAGTATGGAGACAAGAGCAGCTATGTTTCTGCAGCCTAATTAAAGAACCATTAAATCTATAGCTTTCTCATAGTTTTTGATTTTCATTTATAATTAAACCTTTCCAGAACTTGTTTGTGAAGTTTTTATTCTGCAAAGCAGAAGTTTATTTTGGGGTGAAGTCACTGGAAACCCCAAAGGATATATGTGTACCAGGCTCCCAGGCCCTATGAGAACCCCTGAGCAAAGGCAGATGTCCCAGTATGGGATCAACATTGAGTCTGCTGCATCTTGGTATTATTGCATTAGTGAAATTCATTCTAAATTAAGACCTTTGTGCAAATGCAGATTAATCTACCTTAAAGCCACTCATGAAACAAGTGGATTTTTTTTTTATAAAATCATTTTGGAAGATCAGTTTTAATTAAGGAGTATGGGAGATGCATGTGTGAAAAATGTGGTATTTGCTGGGCATACTTTTATGTTCTATTTTAAAATCATGCACATAACATTTTTAGAAAGCAAAGTAGAGATGTTGCAGTCGTGTGTCCCCACCAGTGCACTGGCGAGTACAAGATACTGATTCTCATGTATGTTGATAAGATGTATGTGTGTAAATTCCTCCCTAACCCAGCCCCATCAATGGGAAAAGACTGTCCTTTGTCAAGAAGAAAAGTTATGAAAGACATTCTTTATTCGTGATGGAGTGCTTTAGGGAAGAAAGAAAGTGACTTATGAGTGATTCATTTGGTCAGGCATGCCAGGAAATTTTCTGCTCTCAATCCTAAAGAAAATGTAGTAGCCAAAAAAGTAGTCATTGATCTCATAAATTAAATTAATTGTGCTGTACGTTCTCTATTAATGTGAGGAGGGGTTTTTGATTAGTTTAATAAAGTATGAAGAGGCTTTTCTTTGCACCTATGTTTTCTGGGTTATGTCAATATCCTGTAAGTTCCATCTCCTTTCCCAGGCACTCC